GAATGGTGGCTTAGCGGTTAAGATGTCTGACTCTTAACCATAGAATCATGGGTTTGAGCCCTACTTGGGTCACAACCATGATTTCTTCTATGACCCTAGAACTGGTTAGTTCCAGGAAGTGATTAATAGAAGTTGCAAGAACTTGTTTAAAAATCAAGCTGAAATAAATATTTTTAAACTTAAACATGATTTATCAAGACAAAGTGCAGTTGTAAGGCATAGAAACATCATTCTGAAAGCTTTATTTTTGGAGTTTATATTTGAGCCGCGTCATGACAAACCCAACATAATGCGTTTGCGACCAGCATGGATCCAGACCAGCCTGCGCATCCGCGCAGTCTGATCAGGATCCATGCTGTTCGCTATCAGTTTCTCTACTTGTAATAGACTTGGTAAGCGAACAGCATGGATCCTGATCAGACTGCGCGGATGCGCAGGCTGGTCTAGATCCATGCTGGTCGCAAACCCATTATGTTGGTTTTGTCGTGACGCGGCTCATATTTTTTTTTTGTCAAAATTGGTTATTGATAGTCATTGCCTTTCAAAGACGAGCGCTAACACCAAATGTGATGCTCTTGATTATAATTTGTTATCAAAATCTTACAAAAATAACAAACTATAGACAGATCTGATAGGAAAACACGGATGCAATCATACAAATTCCGAGAATTGATAAGAACGATTGTCATATGTAAACATGGAAGCTGAAATCTGATTGGTGAATGTTTTGCTCATTGTTAAATATCTAGATAACCTATTTAATGTAAGATGCAAACAAATCATAAATGGGTCAAGACCCTAAGTAGTGTTCTTAATGAGTTGTTATTGTTTTAAGACACTTTTAAATGATATCATCTTTACGCATTCTGATTCATTTCTGGATGTATCGTTTAACTCCCTGTAAGCTAGAAGCAAGTAGTTCTTTTTTGGCTATCACAAAACTAAATATAAGGAAAGGTTAGCCAGCTTAATATTGTTATCAGACCAGGCCAGTCTGCACGATCATGTTATCAGACCAGGTCTGTCAGGGCAATCATGGTATCAGACTAGGTCAAACATTGCAATCATGTTATCAAACCAGGTCAGACAGGGCAATCATGGTTTTAGACTAGGTCAGACAGGGCAATCATGTTATCAAACCATGTCAACCAACACAATGTTGTTATCAGACCAGGTCAGCAGTACAATCATGTTACCATACCATGTTAGCCTGCACAAATGTTGTTATCAGACTAGGTCAGCCAGCACAATCATATTGTCAGATCAGGTCAGCCAACAGAATCATCTTCTCAGGTCAAGTCAGCCAGCACAATCGTGTTATCATACTAGTTCAGCCAACACAACCATGTTATCAGGCCAGGTCAGCCAGTACAATCATGTTATCATACCAGGTCAGTGAGGGATATCATGTTATCATAATAGGTCAGCCAACACAATCATGTTATCAGGCCAAGTCAGTCAGCACAATCATGTTATCAGAATCGAGATAGGAAAAGATGTCTTAAATATTGCATTTTGGTTTGAAAATCCATTCATAAAGTTATGCCAGTTTGGTAATTTCTTTTTTTCCGGAGGACTAAAATCACTCAGGCATGACATATAAGTAACATATTGCAACTTAAGGAAGGTATGTTGTGCATAATTTATGATAAGAAACCTTCAGTATTAATGGCAATATGGCATATAATATAGACAGTCGCTGTTTTTTTTTTGTTGAAAAATGCTCCTCACCCGTTTTCCATTCCCAACAAATAATTGAAAAATGGAGCATAAACAATTAAACAATTAAAACAAACAAAATACATCTTGCTGACATTTCCAGAACATGTCCTCAAAAGTACTATACATGGCAACACCAATGTCCTATGTGGTTTAAACTCAAGTATAAACTATTGGAAAAGATTCAAGTGTGGGTCTTTTTGATTTTGATTTCCTTACAACCAGCTGTATTATTTAAACAGGAATATAAGTTTTCCCATTCCCCTTGAAGAAAACAGAAACAATGTCTTTGTTTAATTGTCTTTAATGGTTTTTAATGAATGTTAAGGAATATAAGTATTCAAATGGTAAGAACCTGTGGCTCTTTGCAACTTCAGTTATCACCGCACTTCTTAAACATGCTTAATAACGGGTAGAAAATTTGAAGATTTCCTTATTCAAACAATGAATATATGAGGGGGACAATGCGTTCTTCTTAGTATTTGGTTTTCATTGTTAACTGCAAGAGGATGTAAAATTTGGTTAACTTCCCATTGTTAACAAAAGAACTTCTTAAAATTTAGTAGAGTAGACACTGGTACTTGTTAAAGATGAGTATTTTGATTAAATTAAGTACTGTACAATTTGAGTATTTTTATAATTTCTTTGAAGAAAAAGAAAATACTTGGATGGAGCTTTTCACAATTAATAATCCTGAAACTTAAAACCAAACAAATTTGAAGTTTGATTGAATATTTGTGATGAGTTTGGCAATATTATGATTCGGTAGAATACCACGAAAATTTACAGTATTAGATTTGCGTTAAGTTCGCAGTAAACATACACTACAAAAGCCATTGTGTTTTTTAAAGACACTTAATTTGATAGTGTAGCGTTATTTTAATATAAAGGAGATAAAATGTATGTAAACAAAGTGGTATTTTGACTTCTGTTCAAAATATCTGCACATGTACTAATCGCTTTAACACAAAAGAAAGCAAAAGATACCTCGGCTGAATGGCAAATGTGTATTTGTTTGGAAATTGAAATATTAAGCTTTGGAAAAATAAAGATAGTAGCATTTTTATGCTTAATATGCCTATATGATTTTATTAATTAAAATGTTAAATGTGTGATTAAATGCTAGACTTTTAATGCTAAATTTTAAAATAAAATTCATTAATGAGTTAATTTTTTTAAAGCTGCATGCCTCCAGATGAACCATGATATTTCAAGAAAATCAAATGTAAGAAAAAATTCATTTGTTATAAGAACAGTAAAAAGATTCAAGATAAAAGTAGTAATTTCCATGTAATTGGTCATTATGACCGATTTTGCAGTATTTTTCACCATATTTCTACTGCGTTACTAACACAGTAAGGGCTATTTTTGCATATTTTGACCTCTTTTTTGGTAATTTACATGGGTTGTATGTGCTGTTTGCAATTTGAAAATTATTTTTTTATTCTCTTCACAATATTTTACTTTTCAATACTTAATCAAAATTTTTATGACAATTAGCATTTATCTGGAGGCGTGCTGCTTTAATAAGAATATGGCGTAATGTTAATTTTCATGAATACAATTTCAGCATTTTTATAAAAAAAAGTAGAAATTTATTTATTTGATTCATATGGAATATTGAAAGACAGAGAAGTTATAAGGTTTTTCATGATTTAATAACTCAAAAACGACTTTTATATTGAAGAAATTTTACTATTTTCTTTCTTCTTTTCGTTGGGATATTTAGTCACGAATACTATACTACTGTCAATATCTATTGAAAAGTAACAATGACCGCATTGTGTCTTTTCCTGTATAATGTTGTGTATACTGTATATATATATATACGACTTAGTGACTGGACACACTTCTTGGTTACATCGCCAACCATCTATAAGCTAGCTTATTAGCTTACCTTCGTTACGTCAATTTTCAAAATTTAAAATAAATTTTCTTTTTTAATATTAAGATTAAAATCAATCCTGATAAGGAATATTCTAATTTCTGTAGACTAATTTCCAAAAGTTACCAAACATGTTACCGCTTTCGTTCCATTTCAATCAGAAAACAAAATAATACTAAGAAGGTTATTTTAATTACATTGACGAAATGCAAAAACAACAACAACAAAAATGATTTAATGTTTAAAGATTGTTTTTTAAATATAATTTATACTAAATTGATGTTTCTAACAAAGGTAAATTGTTACTAAATGTATATTAAACAACGGCTTAATTTTGACCAATTTATTTTGGAGAATGACACATTTCTAACGCAATCATGTTAGATATAAAACAAAGGGTAATTTGTTTTTGTATCATGTGTTAACAAATCACATCCTAGATGACGTGGCTATAGTAAAATGACTAAGTCTTTGTCAGCATTTTTCCTTGTATAGTAACATACATGACCTAAACATATATCCATTTGTATATATTCTTTTTGGTGCATTTATGTTATTTATTTAAACTACCACCCCTTAAATGTAAAATAAGTAATACAAATTTTCACTCATATATCGGTGGGAAGTTTAAATAATAAGTATGTGCATTTCTGCACGTGGGTGTTTTACATCTGCAGTTATAGTCTGTTTCTATATCATTTGTATTGAACCAAAGTCATCCCAAAAGGCAAAAACGCGTACTGCGTCTGTTTAATGGGTATTATGACTATTATCAGGTTCATTTGCATTGTTATAAAATATTAACTAATATTCGAGTGTCCTTCCTACACAATCGAACTCAAATAAATATGTATAGTTACATATTAGAACGAACTTGACACACTGCCAATTTGACTTTGCGAACGTTTGCGTGCTTCTGCACGTAGTGAAATATAAATGGTAATGGACTAGTTTATATACTGTGAAAACGTACACACCCTGTCTTACAAATCCCTTATAGGTAGGTAAAGGTTAAGATTAGATTAAAATATTTATTTAGCTTGATTGTGAAGAAAACTTGTAATTTATTGAAGCACTCTAGAATCCCTTTCCTGGAACTAACCAACATTTGTGTCATATTTGGAAAGGTGGGACTTGACCCTGTAGTGCTTCAACCTAAGATCACGGGGTTGATAGGAAGTCACCTGAACCACAAGGCCACCCCCCCCCCTTTGTATTAAGGTGTAATGGCATATCAGGTCAGTGAAAAAAGTCTCTTAATAATTCTTAGCACCAATCTGTTTCCTATTGTCATCTATCACGAGATCAGTATACATGTATTACACTACATTTACAAATCGTAATCATTTGCATATAATATTTCTATTTGTGTTCATATTATACACGCACAGAAGCAAATATTTTGATGGCACTGGTCCACTTTTACTTGGAAATTCAGTATACATTTTTACATACATTAAACATGATAACACTCCAAATATCAACAATAAATAAATAAATATCACAGTTGATCATTCTCTAGTTAGAATAGAAATACAAATGTATAACAGTATTACAAAAAGTGGCAAGACATTCACGACAAAGTACTGTTTAAACATTACACTGTTTTAACCAATTTTAAAAGGTTTTTTTTGTGTATGCACAACCTGTAAACTCACAGTTTGCTTTGACAAAACTGAAAATCGTGATATCATTTTGCTAGACGCCTGTCAAGCCTTTCAATAGGTTTTATATCGTCCCTGGTTTGCAACCATCGTCTGTTACCACTTCGGTAATCCCACTGTTCACCCCTGGTTGGCGCCGTCCGTCTTCCGGCAGTAGAAAGCCGGTCGTCATCCTTTCTCCAGCGTCCATTTTCATAAGCGTTATCCGTACTTGGTCGAAAAACAGGAGAATATGCTGTATCTCGTCGGAATATTTCTTCGCGATCTCGCCGCCCAGGTTGTCGTCTGCGGAAAGCATTTCCTCCATGCCTGTATTGCGCAACAAACTTATCATAATCAAATTCTTCATCTTCATCTAAATAAACAGGAACATACTCCGGTTGAAATCGGGGACTGTTTCTAATATGTGGAGTAGCATGAACAAAACACCGACCTTGTCGTGCAACAACTCGGACAGTTGTCCGTTCAAATTGACCATATTTTTCAAGTAACTCTTTTACCAAATAATCAGGAATTTTAGGAAATCCTAATGAACTTTCAATCAAATTGATTTGCCTTAACCTTCCAAAGTATAAAACTCCTTCAAAGGCAAAGTCTTGTAGAGGTACTGCTACTCTTGGGTTTCGGCAAGGTGGCCCAGGAAGAACCTCTCCATTTGGTCCGTAATAGATATGTTTCTCCTGTGGTGGCCCGGATGGTGGTACATTGTGAGGGGCTAGTTCTTGATTTGGTACAGTCTGGAAAACATGAGAGGATGTTATTTATACTTATGTAAGTTACTTATATTATTTCCTAACCAATAAAACATATATTACAGATAAAGATTAACAGCATTTATAAAAAAAGGTTGTAAAAAGTGAAGTACTCGAAAAGTACATAACAAGCTATCATAATTATTTGGCATGTCTTGTAATTCTGTAGGAATTGTATTCAACTTCCTTATACTAATTATAGTGGAAGCGTATTGTAAACACTAGCCATAATCGCATATTTATATAATGCCTTAACTTAGTTAAATAATTAGTTGTTTTTTCAAGCCACTTTAACTCAATTGTACTTGTGAAGAAATGCTTTACGTGCCTCCTTCATGTACTATTTCACGCAGTAGCAAATATCTTAATAGAACTTAGCTTCTATACATTTAAAAGAAACCTACACCCATTGTAAAATTCCAACCAACAGTAGTCCAAATTAAAGATTTTGCTGTAAAAAACTCAAGCTTTCTTGTAAATCGATAAATTTATGTGAATACGTGAATAGGTATGTTTTGGTCGAGGGCACCACATCTATATCTATATGGATGTAGGTATTATGTCTACAAAACATTACCTGTTGTGGTGGTGGTGGTGGTTGTTGCTGTTGTTGATTAATGACAGGTTGTATTGCTGCGTTGGTATACTGCATGTAATGTGGTGAACCCTCTATCGGTGGTATCACAGGGTACTGTCCTTGGTCGTAGTTGACCATGGTGTTTGTACTGGCCTGTTGGTACAGCTGGTCAAATATCTGGTCTCTCACTAACCTTGGTTGTTCCGACACTATGTTACCTAATAAACACATAGTCTTTGTTATTTATATCATGTAAAACATATACAAATAAAAAGATATTACTCTTCTTGCCTTGCCAATGATTATTCAAAGACAGGGCGATCAATTGATTCAAATTCCATGAATGATAAAAATGGCTGCACTTTCCAAACTAATCACATGAACTGACAAATAACATGTTCTTTTATACCCTTTTATGTAAACGATTAATATAACATTTGATTAAAACACCATAAATACATGCAAATGAGTTTAAGATAATATCAATAACAAAACTTGTTTAGAAACCTTCTATGGTTGAGCGCACTGGGGCTCCTAGCCACGCGTTCCTTCTCCCTCCAGGTAAATCTTGATAGGCGTATTCCTTCGGAACCACCGACTCCACACGAGCATTTCCATATCTACAAATATACAAAAAATATACATAGCAATAATAGCAAATGAGCTTGTACTTGGCAATTGATTTGTGTCCTGACGCAAATTTAAAACATTAATTTGAGTCAGTGACATTGATTTTCTTAGGTTTGTACAGTCTTGGAAAATTTGAAATACATAGTGAGAATCTATAGCATAATTTGTATCAGTTTTAATGTTATATAAAACAATATACATTTATGTCTATATACGGGTCAATGGGATTTTATTCAAAATAAGAAGCTGATTTTAATTTCAAATGATATACTGACGAAACTATAGACAAATTCCATAAAACATAATAACGCTATAGCCAATGAATATATACGTACTTGACTTTAACCTTTTTAATCAACCTACTTTACTTGACCTTTTAATAAACGTGCTTATACAGTTTTTATTTAACCCTTAACTATACACGTTAAAATGTACGCGCTTTATTTAAACCTTAAAATGTACGCGCTTTATTTGACCCTTTAAACATACGGGATTGATTTGTCCCTTGAATATATGCGCTTTATTTAACTCTTAATTATACGCGCTTTATTTGACCCATAAACATACGCGCTTTATTTGACCCATAAACATATGTGCTTTTTAACCCTTAAATATACGGGCTTTATTTGGTTGTTTGACCTTAGACTAATAAAAATATGTGATGGTCTTTCCTGGCTTTGAATTCAATGTTATGCAGCCTGCACGGCAGTGTCTGGCACGTGCATATGACTTTGTATTAGAGGTATCATATAATCAGGTCGTTATTGCCACGAGCTTTCACATTATATATGTTCTAACTCGGGTGTAAGTACTCTGAATTTTAGAAATTCATTCTGTAATTAATTAATAATTAGTTGTAGCCACCACAACGTAAAATAAGGATTCGCACGTGGCATATCCATGTCACTAATGGCGAGTATAGCTATCCACTTATAAATATTCGTCACTGTGTACTTTATACATTAAAAATAATTATTATAAACAACTCAGATTTGCGATGTACTTTCATTTATAAGAATTCCTGGTGTAAACATAATAAATAAAAGAAATGAAACAGAAAAACGTCGAACAGGAAAACATACTTGTTATGTTCAGAGAATAAATAAGGAAGTATGAAAGTGTTGTGATGTCAAGGTACACGACAGGACATTTACATGTAACATGATACTGTTTGTTGTCATTTCTTAGAATACATGTACATGAAATATGTACTTTATCGTGTAAAAGAGTGTTATGAATATCATTATAGCGCTATATTAACTTATTGTTAATAGTGCAAAGTATAGATAACGTTTGTATGGAGAAAACTATAGAATGACATAATTTATACACTATTGTATACGAAAAAGAATTAATGAATATGAACTGATATAGAATGTACTGAACGAAAGCGCACATTTAAACGGAATAATTGAAATAAACGGAACCATTCATAAAATCACGTACTTGTTTATTGATATATAATGTACAAGGAAAAGAAAGATATGAAGATCGCACTGTGGTACAAATGTTTTAATAAAAATTATTTCTTAGAAGGAAAATTAGTAAGAATTATCTTTCTGATATTGATTATGCATTTAAAATGTTAAACCGTCGTAATATAATTATTTTTATGTACTAGTATCCACCCCCACCCTACACACACACACACAAACAACAACAAAAAACAATGCATTATTTATACATGTAAACATTGATACTAATATCATTATTAGAATGCCACAAATTACTATAGGTCATTTTTATATTACTTTCAGAAACAATAAAATAACGTTGATATAATTTTTATTTTGATGCATTCATAAATGTACACCTAACATGTACGTATTGAATATAGATTTATATCAATTTATAAAATCAAAATCAGCGGCAATCTGATAAGGCAGTCTAGAATTCTTTAGGTTAATAGCTGTACTTGATGGAAATAATTTATATCAACAACTTTTCGAGCTGGTTCGAATTTCATCAGAATGCTAATTTTAATGAACATTTTGAAATCGTATTTGAACAAAGAAAGTAATTTACACATTGCAAACGGCACGTGCAATCCACTTAAATTACCAAAAAGAGGTCAAAATATGCAAAAATAGTCCTTTCTTACTAGGGAATATGACGAAGAAAACCGTTAAATCAGTCATTAATCGCATATTAAATGTAAATTATTACTTGAATCTTGATACTTTTTATTTTTCTTAACATTTTAATACATTGTACATTTCTCAAGTCTGATTTTCTTAAAATATTTTTGCTCATCTGGAGGCATGCAGCTTTAAGCTAACTATTAAATCTACATTAAATAAAACATCAGGTATTTATATTTACTATGGAGACACACTGTGTAACATGTAACGTACCATTCATATATTTAAAATCAATATTTTTAGTGTACTTACTTTACTTTTGAAAACGGTTTAATTATACAAATGTATTTAACACATTTCTAAATGCATTGCGTGCTGACTTATGACTTATGGTTCATTTAACACAAAAAAACACATTTTTCGCTATGAGGAATTGGACAAAACAAATCAATGTATAGGTTCATATAGGCTCATACATCATTTTAAAGCATACACATTTCATACACATTTCATACGTATTCTGTGTTAAAACATATAATTTTTATAAATATACTCTGCTGGTTAAAGTGAATTGGTCTACGATGTGCACATTTTCCACGAGAAGTTCAAATATTGGTAAAAAAGCGATAGAAATGTATCATATGGATAGTACTATAAAACATTGCTTAAAAAACAACAATGTTGATACAGTTCTGAGAGATTAGTATGAACATTTCTGATTTATAATAATATATTGTTCTAGAACATTTAATTATCTGCTGTATAAATATAATGTTATACGGGCGCATGAATCTCACATTTGCCAACAACATTCATATATGAGCCGCGTCATGACAAAACCAACATAATGGGTTTGCGACCAGCATGTATCCAGACCAGCCTGCGCATCCGCGCAGTCTGATCAGGATCCATGCTGTTCGCTTACAAACCCTATAACAAGTAGATAAACTGATAGCGAACAGCATGGATCCTGATCAGACTGGTCGCAAACCCATTACGTTGGTTTTGTCGTGACGCGGCTCATATAATTGAAGAAAAAGAAGAAGAAGAAGAAAACTTAAACATTTACGTGTATCTCGTTATACATCAAAACTAATAGTACTACATAGAAAAACGTTTTGTCACGGTTGGTATTAAAGCAGCACGCCTCCAGATTCATGCTGATTTTCATCAAATTTTTGAAAAAGTATCCAAAAAAATATTGACAAGTGAAAAAAGAAAGTAATTTACACATTGCAACCCAAAGTTTAATCCAAGTAAATTACCAAATATGGTGATAAATACTGCAAAATCAGTCGTTCATTGCACATGTAAATCATAACTTATTATTGTAGACCTTCCATTTAAGACCAATTAACTTCAACATAAGCATGTTTGATATCATTATTGATATAATAATTATTAAATCATGAAGACTGAAGACTACCTGTCAGGTACTTGTCGAGGAGCTTCTATTGTGTCAACTTTTGGTGTTTTGTTTGCCTTTAAATTAATTGGTGGTAAATAAACGAGCCTTCTGTCACCGAACTTTGTGGACACGTTCTTTGCCATCGAGTCAACATTTGAAGATAAACTCCAAGTGTTAATCTAAACAACTCGACTTTATTCCACTGCTTATATCATTTACGATCATTAGATACATGATTAATACTTAAATGAATTTTCATTTTCGATTTTGTTTTGTTGTTTTTTTTTTTTAACTTTATACTCAACGACTTACATTTAGTTTGCTACAATAGTTGGTGGTTATTTACAATGTTTCTAAATATATATTTGTTTAGTTCATCTTTTAAGTCATTTGAATATTTGAATACTCGCGACCAGTTGTAAACAATAACTGTAAATATAGATTTATTTTACACCATAAGACATCATTATCATCTTATTTTATAATTATATAAGACTCCAGTTGGAATATAGCTCCAGTAACGTATATAATACAGCTCCAGTATGGTGTAGAATTTGTTCCAATTAATTTTAATTAGATCAACCACTTGACTCGTTCAACTAGGCGTGTACAATTTCATAGAAACAAAAAAGCTAATATACAGTTCACTGGCACATTTTTTAATCCATATGATTATTTATCTTGATATTCCATATCAAACAAATATATATACAAACATTCCAATATTACTCTAGTATACACAGACACACACATTTTGTTTGCAATTGTCGAATACTGGATATATGAATATGTATTCTGAATTGGGCGCAATTTAATATGAAGTATTTCAATAACCTCTTCAAAGGAGGCGATGAGAGTCATAATGTACATAATAACGTATCTCCTTTCGGAAATTTAAACTCTTTCAATTTTCTAGCTTTAGATATTTAGTGTTAGGTTTATTGATTTCAAATAACGATTTTCTATCAATAAATTTTCAATCACGAGTAAATATAAGTATACGGCCATTGAATGCGTAATCATTGATGTAGAAAGTTGCATTGGTGGTAGTTCAATGAAGGACTTGATAATTTGTTTGAATAAAAACCGAATAAATCATCATGTATTTTAAAAACGTGTTTATCTATAAGGTTTCGTTGCGCAACCATTACCGGATTCCGGCGAAATATGAGGTTAAAGTTTGATTTCTTTATATCAAAAAAGTCTTAAGGAAATGCTAACGTAACGTCAATTTCTATATTAAATATTATCCACAACGTTATCTGCTTAGATATAAGCATGATTTAAATTCACATGTTGATTTATTTATTGTTTAAAAGATAACGTTTACTTATTGTTACAGAGGGTAAAGTTTTAATAAATGATAGTGTTAGATGAAAATTATACACTTTTTGGCAATATTTTACACTTTGGAAGTTTAAACTTCCGGAGTTTCAAATTCACATTTTGTTCATGGGAGAATTACAGTTGATAGCCAAATAACTTAATTCTGGTTGCTCACTTTTAATTGTAGTTTTAGTTTGAACAGAGACAATATGATTTTGAAACTGTCGCTGAAGGCTGTTTAGTTTAAACATATTTATATAAGCTCGATTAGATTGCGCAACAAGCTCTTGCAATTTATATAAATCACTTTCGAGTCCGCTTTCAGGAACTAACCAGTACTACTGTTGTTTGAGGAAACATGATCGTGACCCGAGTAGGGCTCGAACCTGAGAGGCAGGCACTATAGGACACCGCTCCTCTTTAAGACAAAGATTGATTAATTACCATTGTTCTTTTTCTTTATTTGCTAATGTTGTCACTAATATCTTATATAAGAAAATTTCCGTTGTGTAGTTGTCTTGAACATAAAATTATACTCCGTTCTGTATAATTTTGTCATCTTCAACATATATTTTATTTTCTCTTTTATATGAAATTCGTTTCTTGTATAAGAAATATTACATGCATTATATATTAATGAAACGAAATACTTTATTTTTTCTCTTTTCTGCTTAAAGGTTTTGCTTGTAATCTGTGTACATTGTACATTATCAAAATGAAAGTATGAGACACTAAAACCGTGTACTGATTTTTATGCTGTAAGAAAATGTAGTGTACTAATTGTAGAAGATTGTATAATGGAGCATGACTTGAACAAACACATTCTCTGTAACTTTGCTTTATGTACATTATGTATATATTTGTCAGTGTCAGCGTTAAGTTAGTTACAATACATTACATTTGAACCAGTTATTACTTGTATTAATTTATAACATTTTTTAAAAGATAAACATTACTTGTTTACTTAATCTTCAGACCATGCATTTCATGTTTCAGAAAATAAAAATGAAATTGAAAAGAAATAGATTCAATTTTCATAAAACAATCATTTGCACTAGAGTCCATTGGTTTATTAGTCAATGATTTTTTTTCTTCTTCAGATAATCCGTCACAAAGAGTATAAAGTACTTAGAAAAATGTTAGAAAATCTACTTGTACTTTTCACTAAGCGTACGTATACGTAGGTAATAAAATACTGTTAATTAAATAATTATAATCACTCATGTTTGCAGCATATATTGTTGCACATTAAACCGCATGATAAAATCAGCATACTAAAAAATATATATATTGCAAGTATTCAAGAACGTATGAAGAGGACGTACTTATGATAAGTCTGCGAGACTCCGGTATTAAACTGTAGTCGTTGTAAAACGATATGATTATAATTAATTCGTGGATATCAATGAAAATGTTCCGCTATATTACCAACATAAATGATGCAAAAAAGACTATTAATTAACATAAACTACAAACCAAGACAACGGGAATAAAAACTGAAAATAAAACACAAAATGTCAATGCACTGGTGTTACTGTTTAGGTTAACGCATTAAATCGCGCAATGGTTTCTACGCCATCTTTGATTCGGGGGAACTAAATAGAATCGACAAGTCTGCGAACACTTCAGTCTCAAGTAGTCCCTCTTCAGTAAGCAATATTCATACTCTTCATTTTGGAGGTAGTTACCTACCGAGCAGCTGGTAAATTCATAAATACGACCATGCGGCGATGACAGCTTCGAAGGTAAAATCAATTTAAAGACCGCATCGTCATAAATACCGTAATAATGATTTTGACAACAGCGTTTATTATAATTAGTAAACGGGTATAAAGACCGTACCGCAGCCGTTTACGTGAATCTGCTGGCATCGAAAAGACTGGCAAACTTAAGAACAACACATAAAATCGGAATATAAGAGATCCGTGGTATTTTTATAGTTATATGGTAAAAAATGAATAAAAGCGAAAATGGCTCTTTATTGTCTATTTTTTTAGAAATATTATGGCTATTAATTGATTTATGGTACATTTGTATATTGGTAAATTGGTCGTTTGATTTTAAGCGAACGCTGTATGTTTTATTTTCTTGTTCAAACGCTTTATCAATGATAGACTGTGGACAAAATATTATCCAAATTTTCCTGTAAACTATCAAATATAATAGGTAACAATTTCAATATTTTAGAGAGCAACATTTTCTATTCTGAAAAAAAGAGAACTAAGTTGAATAGAAAGAAATGCAGTGAATATTGTAAAAATAAAAGTTTATTAGATTTATACAAAATATTTGGAATGTTTAAGATGTAATTGTTGGACACACACTATAAATATCGATGGTCCCAAATGACAATGTTCATACTTCAATGGCCGTTAAATATATTCAGTTACAAATGTGCACACGGGTTCTTGGAAATTCTGTATACATACATGAAAAGCTTGTGGCAAATTTGGTACGAAAATTTGCAGAAATGTATTGAACATTCAATTGTTTAACTTGTATTGAAATTTGATAATTACCAGAATGGTTTCGTATACATATCGGATTGTGAAAATGTTTTAGTTGCAGAATTGTGATTTAAACGGTTTTTGTCGGTGTTGTTGTTGTTTGTCTGGTTACGTGACTATTAATTTAATCTCGTCGAGACTGCATGGACCCGACGTAACGTCATTATTTAGAGGTTAATACTTGGTTGATGCTCGGCATTATGCGATAATGGCCCGAAGACGTGCATAATGGCCTGAGGGCCTCAGGCCCGAAGGACATTATGGACTCGAGGGCCTTTATCGCATAATGCCGAGCAGCAACCCAGTATTGTCTTTAATACATATGTCCGGACAACGCCGTTGGTTGTCGCCCTTTCTAAGAAACGGACATTGAAATTTTGTCAATGTAAACAAACATATGTCATTCAGTTTAGAAAACATGACAAAACAATATAAATATGAGACAATGTTGTTTCACTGTTGTTTATATCTATAAATACTCTATATATTTTTGTGAGAATAACATTTCGTGCCAGTTTTTTTTTAACATTTGTCCCTTCAACTTTAAGAACGGTTTCCGAGACTTATGCCATCGATCCGATCCTTTTTACAACCGTCAAATTGAAATCATTTTTGGAAGTTCTTAGGGTCATGTTTTGTCTTGGTTAGAGTTTTTGCATTTTTTTTTTTTAGTTTTTAAATCTTCTATGTTAAGCTTTGTTAATTGAGATTGATTACGTCATTTAAACTTAAAATTTTTGTGTTCAAGTGACTACAGTCATGCAACGTCAGCAGCCATCTTGAAAGTCACTGAGAGTTGATTATGTCATTTTGCGAGCGCACTCATTCACTCGCCAATTATGGAAAAATAATGCCGAGTAGCAAGGCGGCCGAAATTGCTTAATGACCTGGATTTTGCCATAATGGCCCTGAAATACCCTATATTTTGTTACTATATATAGTTACATAGGTATTAATATATTATTATTGTTTTGGGTTTGGATGATGTTCTAGACAAAAATTCTAGTATTAAATGGAAAAGCAAAAAGGCATAAAAAGATACAATTCTGCAACTTTTATTTTTCACCCCTCAGCTGCATAACGATCAATTTTCAGTTAACTGTAAACCATCGTGTTGTCAATATATTTTTACCAAATATGCCAATATTTTGCTATAATAGGTATACAAAATTTCTATGTAACCGAGTGCACTCTTTATCTGGTAACTGTGTTAGCTTCTTGAGCATGTGTTACGGCCTATACAAAAACAAAAAAGAACAATAAAAAGGGGGAAAACAACTAAAGGAGCTCACCATTAGGACCTTGAAATAACTGTTTACGTTTTCATTGTAGTGCATTTATAATTATCAAGTAATAGTGACATTATTAAAAAATGTGGATTAATCATTACTTGTAAGTTAAATGTTCAAACCAAATATATGTAGCTATAAAATGATATATATACTGTAATTGTAGAAATATTCGCGGGTTTCAAATTTTCGCGATCTTCGTGGTGACAATGTCTTTGTTTTGTATAATAGCCTATTCCTTGACAAAATCCCACAAAATCGAATACACATACAGTAAATTCTTTCATTCAGTTTTGTAAGTTATAATTTCCATATTCAATATTGACACAATAATGCTTTTTTATTTTCTGCATTCAGGGACCCGAAAATAATAAAGAAAATAGCAGTAGCCAGAGCAGTAGCAGAAGCAGTATCAACAACAACATTTTTATAAATAAAACACACTAGAATTCACTAGAATATAAACCTTGTAAATAAACACATGTATATAAGATTTACATAAGAAATCTATACATAAAATATTAGAATTATAATGTTTTTTGCCTTATATCTATAATAGAGAAAAATAGTTTTCTTTTCTTATTAGAAATCATCTTTTAATATCATGGTGTTGTATTTATTGCATATTTTGTCCTCATTTTCAAATATAGGCAATGTTTCAAACAATTCTATTATTTTCTACAATTATACATTTATTCTACAATTATTACACAG